AATTATTTATCCTACAGAAATAAATAAGAGTCAAAGTGCAAAATTTAAACTCTCATAACTTCGAAATTTTTATAGATAGAATTTTTAAAATTTTTTTTTATGTTCCTGGTACCTTACCCTACATGGCATTTGTCTTTGGGGCGCGAGTTCTGGCGCACTCTGTATGTGCATATGATGTAGAACGTTACTCCTTCAACTTTTAAAATCGCGATATCTCAGGAATGGTGATTCTTGGAAAAAAAGGTATAAAGACCATTTTGTAGATAATTTTAAGATCTATAATTTTCGTCTGAGCTACTTTTTTGATAAAACTTGCCGTTTTCGAAAAAAATCTAAAAAACGTCAAATATTGACCTTTGACCCCGAATAACTTTTTTAGCACACATGGGATCGATGGGGACTTTTGACACTTTATTTCTAATGGTATACCCAAGGTCTCCACCAAAATTTAGCTCTGTCGGAATTTTCGTTATTTGACCACTATTTTTATGACTAATTTGACCGGACTAATTACATAACACTCATTGTGAAGATTCAAGCTCATAATCTAATCTTATTTTTTGTAATTCCACTATTCAAACGGCTTGATTATGAATAACAATATTATTTCGGGCCTCGACAACTGTAATGATGTTTACTCATTTTACAAAATAACACGAAAATTTTGGGCCTTCAAAAATCCCGAAAATTTGGTGTGCACATCACACGACTTTCCTTATCCAACTTATTTGGAAAACATTCTTACGACAATAATATAGTGTTGGAAATCCGAGTAAATAGATCATAGTTGTCGCGGGTTCGAGTCTAGAGTGCAATTTTTTTAGTTGGTATCCATTATTTTTTTTATTTTATTACATTTTAATGTTTAATAAGGTATATTTCATAATTCTAAATTCTAAATTCTAAATAATTTTTATCCCCATGAATTTATTGCATATTCAACTGTATAATTTTTTGGTCTTTGCGGCCGAACGGTGCGACCGATTTTTACCAATTGTTTCGTGCTGCGTTCCCTTCCTATAAGTAACTTACATACCAAATTTCAACTTTTTTGGTGTCTTGAAGCTATAATTCGTCCAAAAATGTAAAAATATAGGTAAGTCAAATTTCAGCCTTATAGGATAAGGAAAGTAAAAAAAAAATATTTTATTATTTCTGTTTTAAATAAAAATATTGTTTTCTTAATAAGTGTGCCAATTTAATAAAAACACTTCATTGAATTTTTGCAAAATAGTGTAACTATGAAATTAGGTTGGCAACAATGAATGTTTCAAATGGACAGGCCTCTTTGATCAAACGTTTGGTAGTACTGAATATTTAATGAATGGTTAATTATTCTATATACAGAGAAAAATTTCAAGTAAGATAAGATACCAGGAACATGGAAAAAATGTTTAAAAAATTCTCAGTCAGTTGACATTTATTTTTTCACATTTGACATTGACACTGATGATCTTATATGTATATGTTTTTTTTTATAATTATTTAGTAAAAATACAAAACTTTTGCCAATAAAAGCCACAAGTAACATTAAACTTTCTTGTTTCATCTTCTAATAGCCTGTAGCAAAAACTTGGAAAATTATTTTTCCAACAGAAATAAATAGAGGCAAAGTGCCAAATTAACTCTCATAACTTGGAAATTTTTTACCATTTTTTCCATGTTCATGGTATTTTTCTCTAGGGCGCGAGTTCAGAGCCGGCCTGAGAAAACTTGACACTGTAGAATATTTTTTGTCACATTTTTTTAATATATTTTTTTTAATTTTCAAAAACATGTTTCAAGTTAATTTCTTCTAAAACTTTAATTACTGCTATTAGAAAAATAGAATTTTGCACATTGATAAACAGAACTCTGTTCTATATTTTGATACAATTTTCATATTCTTTCGAGTATTCTTTTTTTTCTTCTCATATACAGGATGTAAACTAGAAGTGACCAAATTGTATTATTGATTACCACTTGTTTATAACTTTGATTTTCTCGTTTAAAACACACTCAAAACCAAAAATTCTATTCAGTCAGGGCCGGTTTTAACATTTTGCCGAAATCAACCTCAAACTGTGAAATTTCGTTTGATCTGGATTAATTTTCAAACAGAATTACCTTTATTTAAAAGATTTTCCTAAATTAATGCAAAATCAGACAATAAATGTTTTTTTTATTAATTAATTTATTTTATTTTATTGTAATTATTTCAAATGTTAGTTAAATTAGATTTAGCTCATTTTCAGCAAAAATCTGTTTTTAACAAATTTTTACAAATCCCTCAATACTCATTTTGACGTTTCTTATTAAGATTAATTTTTTTCAAACAAAAAGTGATTTTTTTTTTATTTTTGGTACTAGATCAATAAAAAATTAGTAAAAAGTACATTGTGAAGTGATAGGGTGTAAATAAAGTCCCTGGACTATGCATTTGCGATGTTGCCATTTTTCGGATAGATTTGAAAAAATTATTTAAAAAAAAAACGATATTTGCCATAACAATAAGCGGCCATTACGTGTATGCCATATTTTTTGGTATTTTTATTGCTTACAGATAAAAAATAGAAAAAAAAACCATCTTCAAAGTGTTAATTTCCAATTTTTATTAACTTTTTTCGAGAAAATTTAAATTTATTAGAACCACAATAATAAGCAAGCAATAGTGCTAGACTAGAGTCTCTGAATACTAATTTTGACGTTTCTAGTTGAAATTAATTAATTCTGTTCAAATAAAAAATAATATTTGATTATTTTTGATACTGGGCTAAAAAATAAGCCAAAAAAATTATAAATTGGTATGCAACTGCAATGTTGCCATTAGTTAAATGAGATTCAGCTCCTTTTCAGCAAAAATTTGGCTTTTTTAACAAATTTAATTAACACTAAAAAAGATAATAGCAAAATCAAACTCTAGATATGCCATTTCGGTTTTGTTGATTTTTCATAACTGACATTATAAAATATGCAATTTTAAATTTTTACTGTAATTTATTTATTTTCGCCTTAACGAGGTTCCACTGTAACACGATTCGGTGGTGTTTGTGCCACACATATCCCGTGGGCGTTCATTCTTGCTTCAAGGAAATTTATTTATAATTGAGAATTTTTCACAACATAAAACCGTCGAAACTTGACCGACCTTGATGGTCAAGTTGTCTACAGTGCGTTTTATTTAACTAAACATTCTAGGGATTTTTTTTCTGGTGCCACTTGTTGCACAAAATTCCCAACCCCGCCACTGCTTCCAGTGTTTATCTTCGTTTAATTGTTCTCGAGGAGCAGTGCTGTGTGTACAGCTGGCGTTGCCCGATTTATCGTTTGTTTTACAGTCGGATTAATTCGGTGAAAAACCGAAAAACAGCTCGCTCATAAATCACTGACTTGTCCCATTTGAGATTTTTCGGCGATTCTCGGAATTCTTTTGTGGATTTTACAACCTATTGTTTTACTGTCGCCACAGTTCTTCTTGGTATTACTGAAGAATTAAAAACTTGATAGTGAGTAATCGGTTTGGCCCCTCTCTCCTTTCCCGAATTCATTGAAGGGAGAGTTGGAGTCGGCGACGAATGTGGCGCCACACGCAGAAGGGGGCTCCCCACACAAAATGTCACCGGTTTAGAGGGTCACTTTATTAAAAAAAAAAAGACAAAAGGTTTTTGTTCAATAATTCAGACAGGCCGGACTGGTCTAATAGGCAGATGTGAACAGAATCAGTGTTTATAGATTTTTTTTGATTTGAATTACATTTTCTCATTTTTTGGTGTTATTTTTTATCGACCAAATGGCGCAAAATCAAAATTTTTTTTTCCTTTTGTCAACTCAATCCGGGGAAATTTTCAAAAACTTATTGTACTATAAAGTACCTTTTATATGGCAAATACGACGAAAAGTTATTTAAAAAAATTGTTCAAAATCAACATCTAAGCCCCTATTCTAAATTTCAAAATCATCGGCCAACTATGATTTTTCATTTATGTTCATTTCACAAATCAAAGAATGTTATTTTTAACAGTTCTCTTATTATGAATAAGAAAATTTCACATTATATTATACAGGGTGTCCCAGCGAGTTGAAAAAGTCCATTAGTGATCTTTAAATGAAAAAAAAAAAAAATAGGACATTTGTAGATACTAATCTAGTTCATATTACTTAGGGCGCAACTAAAGTCCCTAGATTATGCAATTGCAATGTTGCCATTTTTCGGATAAATTTGAAACCAGAGAAATGACAATAAAAAACGATTTATTATTTAAAACTTATAATAAACTGACCATTAGGACGTATGCCATATTTTTGGTCTTTTTATTGCTCATAGATGAAAAAATTAGAAAAAAATATCTTCCAACAAAGTTCGTTAATTTCCAATTTTTATTAACTTTTTTCGAGAAAATTAAATTTATTACAATCACAATAATAAGTAAGTAATAAGCCAAAAGCCTTAATTTCTACTTTAAAATCAATTTTAGGGTTAAACTAGAGTCAATTTTGACGTTTCTTGTTAAAATTAATTAATTTTGTTCGAATAAAAAGCGATATTTTTGTATTTTTTATACTGGGCTAATAAAAATGAGTCAAAATCAAATTGTGACGTGATAGGGCGCATCTAAAGTGCCTGGATTATGCCATTGCGATGTTGCCATTTTTCGTATAGATTTGAAACCGATAAGAAAAAATAAAAAACAATTTTTTTTATTAAAAAAAAAACGACATTTGCCAGAATAATAAGCCGGCCATTACGTATATGCCATATATTTTTTGATATTTTTATTTCTCAGAGGTGAAAAAATTAGAAAAAAATATCTTCCGGCAAAGTGTTTAATTTCCAATTTTTATTAACTTTTTTCGAGAAAATTTAAATTTATTACAACAACAAAAATAAGTAATAAGCCAAAAGCCTTAATTTCTTCTTTAAAATCAATTTTAAGGCTAAACTAGATTCTCTGAATATTCATTTTGACGTTTCTTGTTGAAATTAATTAAATTTGTTCAGATAAAAAAAGTAATATTTTTTAATTTATGATACTGGTCAAAAAATGAGCCAAAATTAAATTGTGAAGTGTTAGGGAGCAACTAAAGTGCATGGATTATGCCATTGCGATGTTGCCATTTTTCATATAGATGTGAAATCGACGAATAAAGAAAATAAAATCTATTAGATGCAAAAATAAAAAATAGGGTGTTCCATTTAAATTTTTTAAGTTATTTTTAACTTCTTAATTTATTAATCTTTACAAATGCAAAACACTACAAAATTGCTACATATTTAAATTCTATACTTTCTTCTTTGCAGAAGTAAGAAAAAGTTGTTCTAGCTGTCTTAGTTTTTGTGTAATGAATTTTTAAAAAGTGCATGTTTTCGTCAAAAAAACTATGCAAAATCGACCAATAAAAGTTTAACTTAAAAACATTGTCATGTAAATCTACATCCAAAAACGCTAAGAAACATATGGTGTTTCATTTAAAAAAACACAAGTTTGTATTGTAACTTATTTTTGAGACACGCTGTATAGTTAAAAATAATTTTGGCCGATGGACTGGATTAGTATCTATCAATGTACTGTATATTTTTTTTTTAATTTTTACAATTTAAAGGTCACTAATAGACTATTTCAACTCGCTGGGACACCCTGTATAAGAAAATATTTTTCTCAAAGAAGCTTTTATTTAAAAAATGTCTTAAAGCTTTTATAAATTTTAAAAACTTAAGCTGTAAGCGAAAATGCTTTTCACTGATAAAAAAACTGTTTTTTAAATATTTTTTTACGTTTTTTTGACATTAGATAAATTCTAGTAATTCTCGTAAAAAAATCTCTCAAAACTTTTGTTGAATGAATTCAAAAAAATGTAAAATTAGCGTCTAAGTGCTGTTTTGTTGTTTTTTTTTCGATTTAAATAATTTTTTAGCAATCTGTTTTGTAGCAGTTTTGTTGAATTAATTCTATATATTTTAAAAACAAGATTTGAATACAAAAAAAATCTCCAATATCCTATCGAGTGATTTGAACAAAATCAAAATCAAACTCGTACCAGGCGATGAACTATATAATTTTTTTTTAATTTTTTCATTTAAAGATCTTTAATGGACTTTTTCAACTCGCTGAGACAGCCTTTATAGAGATTATAGAGGATCGAGTTGTCGAGGTTGTACTGTATTTACCTTCAGGTTTCAGTATCTCCGATTTGCTATAGGGAGGTGGCGGGGTATCTGAAACGAAAAAATGTGAGTTAACATATGAGCAACACGTGGTGTGGTATAGACATAACAGTGAAAAAAATATTCCAGGTGAAGATTGGTGATAAGAGTGGCGCCAGCAGTTATCGCGATTTATTGTAATAATTCGCAGGATGTCCATCGTGCACGATAACGGTATAATCTAGACGTATTAAAATGTGAACACCCACCCACGAATGGGTTAGTCATGGATTACGAACAACACTATTTTAAAGTATCACAAAAATAAATGAATATTGAACCGCGGCGCCCGAAGCGATAAATGTTTACATACGACGGCGCCAATGCAAACTTGCCATATTATTTATTGTATTTTCATGTAATTACGTCGCGTCTTATTACCTTTATTGTGTAATTAATATTAATGGGGGACTGGATTATCATCCACACAAACGAGGTGTTGAGGAGTGCCACGATAACAAAAATTCAAAATCAAAAACTATTCTCTGGGCATTTATGAAACACCAAAAAAGCTCAAAATTATAACTTCGTTTTTTTTTGGATAGAGAATTTCATTCAAGAATATTTTTGTCTCTTGCAAAATTTTGCTTTTCAAATAAAACGTAGCATTAGACTGTTTTAAAAATCGGAATAAAGTAGGCCATGAACTGAAATTTTTTGTTATAATTACTCAAACAATCAAATGATTTGCTAGCCTTCAAATTGTGTTTTTTTGCAATTCACAAAAGTACCTGAAATTCTTCAAATTTTTCAGGAAATAGAAAATTATTAAATGTTTGATAAATAAATACGTTAATATTTTGTAATGTAGTCGCAGATTTTGCAGCTATCTATGACTGAATATATCAGTAAAAACTGCCTGAAATTTTTCAAATTTTAACACGTGTTTTTATGCTATTTTTTCTATTTAACGCTTTATAAATTGAATTTATTATACATATTTTCATCTGATTTAAGTCTAAAGATTTTTATATACAGTTGGCAACACACTAGCTATATTAAAACAAAATGATGACATTTCATCTAAATTGCGTGAAAATAGCTCAAATTTGCATTCGTTTCAGTGGAATTCGGTGATTTACAATTATTTTTAGCTTAAAAACGACAATATGCAGTGCTGGTGACAGTTTCGCATAAAAAGTTACTAAAACAGTTTTACAAACACTCTCAAAGTAAATGTCTCAAAATGCGAGGTTGTAATACGTGTTTTTTATACTATTTTTGTCTATCGAACACGTTATAAATTTTATTTATAATTACATCTTCATTTGATTTACGCCTAGAAAGTTTTGTGTTAAATAATATACAGTTGGCAACACTTTATGTAAAATTAAACTGTTAAAACATTTCACATAAATTGCTCGAAAATAGCTCAAATTTGCGTTCATTTCGGTGGAATTCGGTGATTTACAATTATTTTTAGCTTAAAAACGACAATATGCAGTGCTGGTGACAGTTTCGCATAAAAAGTTACTAAAACAGTTTTACAAACACTCTCAAAGTAAATGTCTCAAAATGCGAGGTTGTAATACGTGTTTTTTATACTATTTTTGTCTATCGAACACGTTATAAATTTTATTTATAATTACATCTTCATTTGATTTACGCCTAGAAAGTTTTGTGTTAAATAATATACAGTTGGCAACACACTAGCTATATTAAAACAAAATGAAAACATTTCACATAAATTGCTCGAAAATAGCTCAAATTTGCGTTCATTTCGGTGGAATTCGGTGATTTACAATTATTTTTAGCTTAAAAACGACAATATGCAGTGCTGGTGACAGTTTCGCATAAAAAGTTACTAAAACAGTTTTACAAACACTCTCAAAGTAAATGTCTCAAAATGCGAGGTTGTAATACGTGTTTTTTATACTATTTTTGTCTATCGAACACGTTATAAATTTTATTTATAATTATATCTTCATTTGATTTACGCCTAGAAAGTTTTGTGTTAAATAATATACAGTTGGCAACACTTTATGTAAAATTAAACTGTTAAAACATTTCACATAAATTGCTCGAAAATAGCTCAAATTTGCGTTCATTTCGGTGGAATTCGGTGATTTACAACAATTTCTCGCATTGTCGTGCTGGTATAAAAAGTTACCAAAACAACAATGACACAAAAATTAAAAATAAATATTTTTCGAATTAAAAAAATATATACAGGGTGTCCCAGCGAGTTGAAAAAGTCCGTTAGTGACCTTTAAATAGTAAAATTGAAAAAAATCATATAGGACATTGATAGATACTAATCTAGTCCATCGCCTAAAATTATTTTCAACTATCTCAAAAATAAGTTACAATACAAACTTGTGTTTTTTTAAATGAAACACCTTATGTTTCTTAGCGTTTTTGGATGTAGATTTTTATGACAATGTTTTTAAGCTAAACTTTAATTGGTCGATTTTGGTTAGTTTTAAAAATAAGACGGTTTTTTTGACGAAAACATGCACTTTTAAAAAATTTATTACACAAAAACTAAGACATCTAGAAATATTTTTTTACTACTGCAAAGAAGAAGGTACAAGCTATAAGGATGTAACATTTTTTAGTGTGTTGCATTTGCAAAAATAAAAAATGAAGGCGTTTGTTAAAAGTTCAATAACTTAAAAAAATTAAATGAAACACCCTATTTTTTGTTCTTGCATTTAAAAGATTATTAAATTGTCTTTCTAAAATTATTTACTTTTAGGTGTTTATAATCAATAACTAAAAAGATATTTAACGTTACACAATAAAAAAAATAATTACTGTTGTTTCAGTAGCCAAAAAGTGCACCGTTGCACAAGAGATGGAAGAAATATCACTTAATAATCACATTTGTGTTAAACTGAATCTATTATTTTTTATTTTTACAATAAAATAATTCGAGTTTCAGTATTTATAACGACTTTTACAATCTCTGGATAAATCAGATATTAATAGGCATTGTTGCTACAATAAATATTGAATGTTAAATATCTTTTCATTTATCAATTCTAGACATTTAATGTTTATTTTTTAGATAGACAATTTATCAATCCATTAGTTGCATTGGTGGTGTTTCATTTTTTATTTTTAACTTTAACTTTAACAAACTTCTTAATTTATTAATCTTTACAAATGCAAAACACTAAAAAATTGCTACAGCCTTAAATTCTGTCTTTTCTTCTTTGCGGAAGTAAGAAAAAAATTGTTCTAGCTGTTTTAGTTTTTGAGTAAAGAATTTTCAAAAAGTGCATGTTTTCGTCAAAAAAACAGTCTTATTTTTAAAACTGAGCAAAATCGACTAATAAAAGTTTAGCTTTAGCTTTAAAAACATTGTCATAAAAATCTACATCTAAAACGCTAAGAAACATATGGTGTTTCATTTAAAAAAACACAAGTTTGTATCGTAACTTATTTTTGAGACACGCTGTATAGTTGAAAATAATTTTAGGCTATGGAGTAGACTAGTATCTATCAATGTCCTATATATTTTTTTATGTAATCATTTAGAGGTCACTAATGAACTTTTTCAACTCGCTGGGACACCCTGTATATATTTTTTCCCCGTTCCTCACATTTATGGCCTTTTGGGGCTTCATCTAAAGCCCATATATCAGACATACGTCGTAAGGCCGTAGCATTACCATAATTGCACTAAATCACACAACCTCCGTTATCCATATAGAAAAGCCAGTCCTAGAAATATGGCGCTCCCTCGATTTATCAAATCATTAAACACAGAACGCATAAATCGAGACATCCACATAAAATTTATCGCTCTTTGATAATTTATCTGTTATTAAATTCGCAAAATCAAGTTCAAGAAGCATTTGACAATTTTGATTAATACACGACGCCACTGACCCAACTTGATCCGTATCCTAGCAACTAAGACACATTTGACAAGACGTTGCTACGTAACGAGTATTGTCAAGTCAGTGGCGTGGTGGAATTTAAAAAATGTCGATGTTCCTGCACTGAAATTTACGGTTAAATTTCCGTTCACTTTCCTGAATTCCTCGTCGCTATTTCGAAACCAAACTAACCGTTGTTGTTTATTGAATGAAATAAAAATGCACAAGAACCGTAATTATCTGCATATAAATACGAACGAAATCGTTTGAAAATGCCGACCTCGAGTTTCGCATCAATTGTATTTATCGAGACGATAATTGGCTATCTCTAACCTCTTCCTCATTATCTCCCTAATGGCTCAAAATTGAACGTAGGAAGAGGAGTCAAGTCGTCGTGGGCAGTTTCACTCTCAATTTACGCATTTTCGGGGCAAAAGCACGCGCAGTGATACCAACCGCGAAGCACTTAACAGTGCGAGAGAGACAGAAGACAGGTATTTTCAAAGGCAGACGATCCGTTGACTATTTCGCAAAAGACAAATTTCAAATTTTCTTTCGATTGCTGATTTTCTTCTCTAAAAAAAGATATCCTCTAATTTCATTTAAAAACCCTTTTTCCCACCTTAGACAAGTCCTCTGAGAAACAAATGAGAGAAAATCCGTATAGTCGCTATACAGTGTTCCGTATAAACCCCACATTAGAAGTATTGGGAGTTGGAATAATCGTATTTATTTGAAAAATGGTACATAGCCATAAACCATTAAGTCCTCCTAAATGAAAATATTTTCAAGATGGTGGCACTTCCGGTTATACCGGAAGTCGGTCTCAACTTTGTTATTTTAAATGGAAAGGTATATTTTTTACTGCGTTTTTGGATTAATCGGGTTATTTTAAGAGAGTTTTCATTAGCTTTCTCTATACCCAAATTAATATATAGCCATTTTTGAAATATTTGGATTTTTCCAAAAATTTTTGGATCTGCACCTTCCACTTTAAAAATCGGTAACTCTGTTATTTTTTAAAATTTTGAATTCGTTTTTTTGGCGTTTGAAAGAGAAAGCTTAGATCTTTCTTTTGGTGTTATCAAATTTTGAAAAAAAAATAACAAACCCTAAAATTTTAAGGTTACTTTTGTAATAATTCAAATACCCATAACTCAATTTTTCCAAATGAAGTACCCCAAT